TACAATTTTGTAGGATTATTTATATTATACATGGGTGTACCACCAAAATCTGTGTTTGTTCTGTTGTATATTTTTATGTTTTCGTTTTTGTTTTTATAATAATTACTAAATACTACTTAACCTAAAAATGTATGATATGATTAAATTGATAAAAATACCTTTTAAATATACAATAGAACAAAAGTTAATAATAATTATAGTTTATAACTAACCTGAATGAAAAGCTGAATTTTTCATTGCTTGAACAAATCGTAAAGATTCAGACCATTTTGCATTGTGAATAATTTCCATCCAAGTTGTTATCATACTTTCGATGTCTTGATTAGCTCGTTCAACTGATCCTTGAGATTGGCTGTGACGAGCTTTGCCATGAACTATTTTAACTTGAGGCCACATTTCACATACACTGGTAACAATTTTATTTACAAATTCTCGCCCATTATCAGAATGTAGTATACTAGGAGCTCCAAAGAGAGTGAATATATCTAAAAGTTGATATGCAATTTCTTCTGCACGTTTACACCGTAGAGGCCGTATAATCACAAATTTTGTCAGGCGATCTTGATACACCATAAAGTATTTAAATCTATTATCTGGGTTTGATTGCAAATCAATTAAATCGATTTGACATCGAGAATTCATTTCACTGTGCAATATCGGTTTAACAACGAGTCTTTTTTTTGGCATACTATGCTTTTTCTGGCACGTTTCACACATTTTCAAGTTCACATTTATAGCTTCCACATTAATATTTTTGAATTTTTTTTTTAGCATATGATTTATCCGATCCCTGCCACCATGTCCTGTTTCAATATGAGCTGCGTGTATAATATCAAAATATTCGTCATTACATACGTAGTATCGAATATCTTCAGATCCACTTTCCATTGGAAAAATAAGTTTGTCTTCATTCCCAATACAAAGAGCATCAAAACGTTTTAATCTCCGATACTGAATTGATTTTTTGACGGCGATTGTTTTTGCATTCTTCACATCTTGTAAATACGTATTGTACATTTCACGTGTTAAATAAAAATTATTACTGGAATCATTTTTTTTAATTATTGGATTTAAAACGTCATAAAACCTTTCTATATTAGCCATATTAAAGTCAAATTAACAATGAAAATAAATATAATTAAAAATTACATTAATTAAACACAATTCAATATATTAAACACTACGCGCATAACACATATTACACTGTTCTACAAATGGATCCGCCTATCACGTAAAACTCAAACAGACTGAACACGTACCTAATAAAACCATATCTAAGCGATAAAGTATCCGTTAGTGCCACCAATCAATTGATATCAGTCAGCTATTACTAAGTTATATCATGATATAAGTTGTATACTATTAATCTTAAACCCGATAAAATGCAAGTCCCTGCAACACATTGCAGTCGTAAAAAGATAAAATAATTGTTATTAATCGTTGAAAGCAAAAATGTTTGAGGTGTGATTACAACATAAGATGCATTTTTATTTTGTATAAAGAATTTAAATAACTGTCAGTAGTTTGTTTTAATAATGTAACTATAATTTTTACGCAGCTTAAATGTTATGTGTCGTGTATTGATCAGCTTTTATTAAGTCGATTTGTATATCCTAGGATGTACACAACGTGTTTAGTAAAAGCCCGAATAAAATTTAGAACTTCAGCATTTACTGAGTACAAACAGTAAAACCTAGCATTAACTAGTAAAACCTAGGTTTACCTAGTGATCGGGTATTTACGGTAACATCTTAACCAATTGTAATTAATACAATACCACTTAAAACAAATTTAAATAGAAAATTAAGTTAAAGGATTAAATTAATCTAAAAGATTTCAATCTCAGGTGAAACCAATGCCCTCAGTTATCATCTATAATCTATACATTCAAAATGAAACTAAATACTTAGGCACATCAATACATACGGCTTGTATAAGCCCAAATAGCTAAAAACCAAAGAAAATAATYTGATATAATATGTCTCTCTACCAACTAGATACTCATTCAAAGAATTAAAAAACAATCATAACCAGTAACCTCTCTTTTTGTWAGGTTATTGGTTTAAATAGTATACAGAGTTCAAAATAGGAATCAAATCATAAATTAAGAATATTGTTGATTAGGACTATATGGWAATAAATATGTATATATACAGAATACATATACACCATATATACAGTGTGATCACAATTTAAGGTAACGCTAAATATTTCGGATAGATAAACTTATATGAATTTCTATAGGAACCTARGAGGTACTGAAATACATATTTTGTGAAATTTTCAAATTGTTAACACTTATGCACCGTGTAACGGTACATACTATTGCACCATGTAAAAGGGCTCTTAACAGAGCCAACAAATACCACCAATCACAGGGCAGGATACTAGAAAAGCCRCAACCATCAGACAGGGGAAGTGTTTCTAAGCACTTCCCCACACAATAGGGTCTGCAAAGGCACATCTATGGATAGGGGAAGGTAAGACRAAGAYGTCAACACCTTCYCCATGATCATAGGACAAAAARCGACATAGTTATGGCCAAAACAGTTTCAAGAGAAGACACAGCGGAAATGACCAAATTATTAATGTTTACTAGTCGGTACGGACAGGAGTACTTAGGCTAGTAACATTTCAATAAAAACACAATTCAATACCTCCACTACCATCTTCGACCGACTCTCTCAAGCAGTACCGAAGATCGAAGACCTGAAGACGACTTTCCACGATGATCCACTGCCGCGACCCGGAACCAACCGCCACGATCCCGTGTGCAACTCTGTTGAGCATCGCCATATAGATCGTGCGGTTCAGACAACGCCGCAAGAACAAACGACGACCTCCCCCGGCAAGCCATCGCCGCGAATCCACGAACGCCGCCCGTCACGATCCCGTGTGCAACTTTATTAAGCATCGCCACTAACGATCGTGCGTCCCGACGACACCATCAACGCCGGCCATTACCCACGGCACACAGTTGCCGCGACCAGGACATGACGCCTGCTGAGCTTGACTCAGCCAATCACACGACTCCGGCAGCCTCACCGAACCGAAGTCCAGTCCACGACGCTCAACGACAACAGGTGCTAAGCGTGCACATACCGGTTGCCTACCACTCCCTTTCCCACGGTGTTGTCTTGGCGGTAACCTCTCGTTATATCCGACGTCGAAGGATGGTTTAATCCGGAGCTTCGACGCGGATACTCGATGMGCCGCTGAGACACTCCCGTAAGGTARCTGGGCCCRGTGACACYAAGACGACGGTGGAATATCCGAACACAGGGGTCAGCATTTGCGGAGAACCTGATCAAATCAAGGCCAGATATAAAACTGTCAATACCAGGACCGACTCAGTAAGACAAGTCCCCMCTAAGCGCGCCTGTCTAGGCCTCGCATTACCCGAACGATAATCGTGTTTAGACGCCACTTACCTAAGCGGGCCCGACCGATCGTCAGTTCCCCCCCTCCAACCTATTATACATTGCCCAGATTCCCTTCATATTATATAATTTAACAAGGAATTGTTCCGTTGCCCCAAATACTTATAATAACTACTTTGTGTATCAATAATAAAAACGTTTTATTATCTATCCACAAACCAAACGGCTTTACATTCTTAAGGAACGGTGTCTTGATAAATCAAGTCTCGTTTCAACCGTGGATGCACAGTACAAAATATAATTTTTTTAGTGGTAACACATATTTTTAGCACATGATTTGGATTGACCAAATTTTTTCAAGTCGATTTTTCACGTAATACTAGGCACTAAGTCAAAATTGAATGAATGATGACCATTATTCAATTTTGAAAAAAAAAAATGTTTAAAATACACCTGTGTAATTTATTAGTTCAAGGTTCATGTTTAACTTTTTTTTTCATTAAATTTTATAATTTCTATGCAAAAATCTTCACGAAATACCTACGTCTTAGCAGCAGGTGAATATTATGATTAAAGCACTCACCAAAAATTGAAATCAATTCAGCTTTTTCACTGTTATTCATATTGATAAWAAGTRATAACTAATATTATATAGGAATACTTATTACAGAAACGATTAAAAATCAAAAAAGTACAAGCTGAGGTGAGAAATATGGTCTCAAATATGAAATTAATATAGTTTTTATCAAAACATTAATATAATTAATGTTTTTATCAAAACATTAATATAATTAATAACATTATTTTATTGACACAATATTGTTAGAATATAATAAAGTATGAAATAAAATTCCGAAATAAAAATAATTTTAATTTTAATTATATATTGTAGTTGACCAAACATAAAAATATCACATATAACAAATTTAGTATACATTTGAGTTTATTTGTATAATAAATATTACTTCTTTTTACTAGTACAACAGACATTCCCAACTTAGAAAATGCACAAATAGCTACTTACGCTGACGACACGGCAATCCTCTCATCCCATTCCAACTCCACAATAGCATACTAAAACCTCCATATAAATTTTAATAATATTTCAAAATGGTCTACCAAATTGAGAATCAAATTCAATTYAGACAAGTCCTTTCACTWTAAGCAAAGCTGTCCTACCTGCAATCTATTTTCAAAACAATYAAATTCAAACTATGACTCAAACCARTTAGGTATAATATTAGACAAGCCTTTAATCTGGGGCGTATATCAAAAAACTAAAAGAAAGGTTCTTAACACTATACTTCATCTTTTTTGGCCTATTCTCAATTCCAAACACACGATTTACAACAAACTATTAATTAACAAATCATAACCAATCTGGTATCCGAATTTGGAGATGTGCCAAGCCTTCCRAAATGTGGACTATACAAGCCTTTCAATTCGTTTATCTTTGTCTAATAACATTTGCGCCATATATGCTACGTTTTTATCCTCTTACTACATATAGATCATAAAATTGAAACAGCTAAAACAGCTCAAAACAGTCTCTAAAACTGCTAAAAATTACTGTAAAAAATTCTAAACCAAAACAGTTAACCACACAAATCTATTGATCTCTAACTTAGCTAGGTAGTGAATTCGTGCCAAATAGCCCGCCACGTCGATTAAAAATACACTGGAGTCTAGATCTCTTGAATTCCGACCTGTATTKATTAAAACAAACTTCTCAACCCCAAATTAGAGGGTTTCCACACTGAGGGGCTTTTCTCCTTACGCCATCTCATGTTATGTATCTTGTATTAGCCATCAAATTTATTTATTGTATTGCTTACAAATATTACAGATTGTAAATACTCTTTTATAAAATAATAACTAAAAAAAAAAATTAGTAAAAACGATAATTTCCATTCCCTGAATTGTTATTCGTCAGACGTTATAGATCACCGGTGGCCACTAACCTTAACTTTGGGAGCCGCAAATTTATAAAGTTAATTCGACATGAGCCACATATTGTAAAGCAATGTTTATAAATTAAAGATATATTTTTCATTTTAAATTAAATGAAGGAACATTTATTTACTTTTAATTTTAGTACAAGTTTGGTTCAAGAGCCTCACGAAATTAATTTAAGAGCCGCATGCGGCTCGCGAGTCGTGAGCCTCGTTGTGGCCACCCCTGATGAAGTATGGTTTAGTCACAAATTAGTAATACCTATAGGTACTAATAAGTATTAATACAATGATGATTTTTTTTTTTTTTGTGTTTCTGTTACATTTGCATTGATGAAATGAGTAATATAAAAGATATTTCATTTATATACCTATGTGTTTTTCTTCAAGGGTGTTCCTAGTAAATTTTTTTTTTATATACCTATATAACCGAACCTAACTTATATTAACAATTATATACATATAACATATGTCATCATAAGTTCGAACAAATTACTGCTGGTAGTTGTGTAGCCTATAGGTTATTGAATGATACTGAAGACAACATATTGTATGTTTTAAGGAATTGGAATTTATTTAGTGTAACCAATGGCTCATTTTAAGTAAGGGTAGCCTAAAGGTATTGCAATAAAATAAGTAAGAAATAAGTGTAATTTGCCAATTGTACTTATTAATTAAACAAAGGTATCAGTTAATTTTATTATATTTTAAATGTTGATATAATATTAAACACAATTAAATTTAAAAAAGTTATAAAGTAGTAAAATGATACCTATTTATAATATATTATATATCAGGGGGTGGCCACAACGAGGCTCGCGAGCCGCATGCGGCTCTTAAATAAATTTAGTGAGGCTCTTGAACCAAACTTGTACTAAAATTAAAAGTAAATAAATGTTCCTTCATTTGTTTTAAAATGAAAAATATACCTTTAATTTATAAACATTGCTTTACAATGTGTGGCTCACGTCGAATTAACTTTACAAATTTGCGGCTCCCAAAGTTAAGGTTAGTGGCCACCCCTGCCATACTCWGTTAATCATAAGAATTTCTACACGGCATGCACACCATTTTATTTTGTGATATTCATTAATTTCTTAATTCACTTAAAACTTTATTATTATTCATTGTGAATTTCTAACTGATGTCACACATGCATATAATATATTATATATATATGTATATATATACATTTAAATTGATTAAATAATTAATTTTTGTTACCTTAAAATATAGTAAGTTTCATACAYAAATTATTATAATTTCAAAAGCACATACCTATTATGTCCAATGTTTGTAACTCATTTTAAATTTCGTTGTATATGCATAATATTATTATGTTTGATTTCTATGTATTGCTGTCAACGCACAAATTGGTTAATTAATTAAAATTGTTATTTTTTTTTTTAAATATAACTAATGACTATAAGAATTGCAACGTTAAGGACAGCATTTAATTTATGTATTTTAATATTGTTCAAAATGTCTATCGAATCATCAATGATCATATTTATCATCATTATTATTATTATTCTATTAGGTACTAGGTACTTATTAAAACTAAAATTGTAAAAGATTGTGATTGATAATATTAAAACCACTTTTAAAACCAAAAACTATAAGCATGTGTACAACACACACATATATTATATATTATAGGATACATTTCATTTAGTTGATGTTTTATAGGCTACACATATCTTATGCATCTAACAACTATGTATTAATTACCTATAAACAACAATAATGTTGTAATACACCAAACCAGGCGTCTATATAGTGTATAGCATTTATTATCAAGTTTATGAAACATTTTAATTTCACTTACTACGCACACGTCGTTCGCAACCAGACACCTACATAGCTGGTTGCCTTGACCTTTTTATTCACTTGAGATTCGGCTTTAACATTTTCTCCTACAATAATACAATATCAGACTATCGACGTTAGGAGGTATGCCCAGCACACGTATAAATTTGTACCAGTTGAGAATTGAAAGCTAGACACACAATCATACTTTTCGTTATGCGTTTATTATTTTTGCACGCACAAAAGAACCGGGCATGCGACGTTACATGCATCCAATCCGCCATACGCAGATGTTCTACCCCGCACAGATTTTCATACAGTGATGATTGATAGCTAGTAAGCTAGACATTCGATTAAAATTATTCGTATTTCCTTATTATTGTATATACATTCAAAAAAGAATTGGGCATGCAGCAGGACACGGTATTACACTAGATGAGRAAAGACCGCTAGACACTCAAAGTCACAGTTTTCGGTATGACTTAACTTTTTGAATTTCTGGAGAAACGATTTTCGCTTGACCACCACGAAKGCGCGGAGGCGGCTTCCACGATGCCCGGAATCAAATTACAAAAGCAGCTAGTAATATAATAATATAATAATTATTATAGGTGTTTCATTTAAATGTGATAGAGAGGTTTAAATAAAAGTAATTCGTTGATACTGTATGATTATTATTATTTATATTATATAATTATTTTTGATAATATATTACTTATTTATAAGGATATTCGTAGATAATTAAACAAATTTTACATCATCCACTTATTACGAGAATATAATATTGTCTAAAATTGGAATATAGCTATAGAATGGTAAAAACGGTAGAGTGCATACTGCAGTTGTAATGTAGCCGATAGAGTGCATACAACAAGATAGCCCGCAGTAATATAAATTATCATTCTTCAGTTAAAATATAACACATTTTAATACCACTAGTATGAACTTCTATTAGGTATAAATTATATAAAATAATATAATATATATAATATAATTTACATATATTTATTTATATGAACAAAGTAAACCCAAATTAATCATTGTTTTCAAAGTATATTTTATTATTACTATTTAAATTTTTAACTTTTACTGCAATCACAAGACATTTTAACGGCTGGTGCAGGATTACCACTTTTTTCACCAGGATTACTTTTGTTAGATGATAAGGTGTAATTGTTTAATTTGTATTCAATTTTATTTGATGTAGCTGGGTATTTAATCCCTGAATCATATTTAATTTCTGATTTAATTTCTGTTTTATTTTCTGATATAGTTCCTGAATTAAAGTTTGTTTTTACAAATATTTCAACGGTTTCAGATGTGTCGGTTATCTCCAAAGTATTCACACATAGTGTTCCAACTACATCATTTGTTGTTTGGTCTATAATTTTTTCAATATTGGTAGATGGAATATTTTGATCTGTTTTTAATAAGGTAAATGTGTAAGTAGCAGAATTAATAGTAAATATTTTATTTGCAATCGCTGAACATTTGGAAAATCTGATTGAATTTTGAAACTGTACCAATGATATTTTTTCATATATCCAAGAATCTACAGACTTATTATCATATTTTGTTGTTTTCATTCGTGCATATATATCATTTACTTGACAAATGAAAGTTTGTGAAACTAATTTATTTAGTTCTAATGCGTACATTTTCTGTGGTATACACACTTGTGATGTTGGATATGAAAACTCTTCTTTCTTAATAGTACGTATATCATATTTAGCAGCATTAGTATTATTCTTGAGAATATTTTCATTATATTTTTCGATCGTATCCACTTTATATGGATTGAAATCCTTTTCCATCGCACATTTGTCAGGATTGAAGTTTAATGCCCTTGTATAATGTACCTCAGTGCTTTTAACATTTGTTAAAAGCCTTTTATTTACACAACTATATAATTGTTCCATGATTTTTTTATATTCGTTAGAATTGACGTCGTAACTCGATTTTGCGTCTGACTGTGTTTTTTTTATAAACAATACTATGTTTTGAGCCTTTAACTCAAAGTGTGCTCGAACTATATTCACTTGTTCCCACATCATAACTCTCACCGCTAAACTACTATTTGAATGAACTACAGATTTTAAATAAATATTAGTCAATGAAGCCTTATAAATTGTATACATTTGTGTGACTGTCTGATTTAATAGTGACATTGCGTCATTATCATTTTTGGCGAAGAACTTTGATAAATCATTAGTTTTGTATATGTCCTGGAAAAAAAATTACGAGAATTGTTGATACATATCAAAGAATCTAAATTCATAAAACAAACGTGTAAAAAAGTGAAAAATACTAACCAGAAGTGATTGATCAATGTTTGCTTGCCCATCACACAAATTTATTCCTCTACCAAACAAAAACGCATCTCTAACTGATGCGTATATATTTGTATTACTAACTACATTTTCTCTTGCCTCATTATACTCTTTCACCTGAGTATCCCATTGATTCGAATTAGTATTATCTGTACTACTCGTTTTACTAGTATATTTTGATTTTATCGTTGTGGCATCATTCATAAATTCAGTRTAGGATGATTCACAGCGTTTTGCAGTTAGAGTTGATTGCGCTTGCAGTACTTCTGTTACTTCGCTGAGCTTTGCTTCTGATTTTTTAACAGTTACATCTTTTTTTTGGTAATAGTTAGCTGTCATATACAATACAGCATTAAGTTTGTCTTGTGATTCTTTTTCCACATCATTTTGTTGCAAGTTGAGCATCATATTTTCTATACTTCCGGACTGTTCATTATATTGCATTATTAAATTACTTTCCAAATCATTTGAAACGCTGTCAATTTCAGAAAATCCACTTTTTATGTAATAATTTGATGATCGCATACATTCAACTGAAGTTATATATGATGATTGAACTGATAATACATATAGTGAAACATATTGAAAAGCATTTGGTACTCCCAAATTGTTATAACAATCTGGTGATATTAATTGGTTGCTTCCTGATAACTTATCGCCCTGAAAAATTTGAATTAAACATATTATATTACTCCATCCATTAAAGTATATTTTATTTTATTATTATTTTTAGCAATTATCAATAGTTTTAAATACTAAATCTTTATTCTTTATATATTATGTCATATAAAATTAATAACCACTATTATTATTTATGGTCTCGTCAACACAAATTCTATGAAAAATGAAAAAAATTCTTATACATTAATATATTTGAATTAGGTTATAAATTTGTTCGAAAAGAAAATATTTCTAAGTAGGTAGAGCTTTTAGTAATGATCAAAATTGGTTTTGGTCTTGCAGTCTCACAAGACTTGCTGCAGACCAAGACCAAGACCAAGACGGTACTGGTCTTGCAAGACCAAGACCAAGACGGTACTGGTCTTGCAAGACCAAGACCAATACCGAAGCTGCAAGACTAAGACCAAAACAAGACCATCACTGCAAGACTCTTGTAGTCTTGCACATTTTTTCCCCTCGAAAACACATTATTTATCTAGATTTCATTAACTAATAATTTATAACGAAAATAATAAGAAATTATTTGTATTRTTATTAAATTTGATCAGTATTCGAGGAAATGATGAATTATTCAAAAAAAGATTAAAAATAATTCCAATTAATATTACAATTTAGTTGTTTTATACTTAGCAATTACTGAAAAACTATTTATTTTTCTCAAAATCGATGAAAACGTCTAAAGTTATCTCGCTCATAGAATAATTTATGACTTATGTCCATAATACACCTATACTTTGAATCGAATATACTAATAATTGTTGGAAGTCATTACGGACTACGGTAGATATCATTTTGATTGGAAGTACGTTTTTATTTTCGTTCGTATTTTGTGTGAATTTTCCGTATTTATTTATTTATTCATTTTTCCGATTTTTGTAGACATTGTGTACTTAAACTATTATCTTATACAGCATATCATTTCGTTACTGTCGTAAACTTGTAGTCTATTGRTAATACGCCTTGTTAATTGTTGTTACTGTAGGTACCTTTAAAATGAGTGACATTTAAGATGTAGTGGACTAAAGCAAAATAGTGAATGAATTAGAAGATAATAACCAAAGTTTTAAAAGTAAATTTAATGACTATTATGAAATAAAAAGTATAAACAATGAAATTTCTGGTTTTTGTAAATTGTGAAAAAAAAAATGTAAGAAGAAAATAAAAATATTAATGAAGAACAGGAACACTTCTGGGCTAAAAAAGCACTTATTGTCGATGCATAAGAAAGAGTCTGAAAAACTCTTTCCTAAAAAGCCATCAAAATCGGTTGAAAATTTCTTCGGGACTTCTACTTCTGGACAGGTATATACCTGTTATATATATATATATATATAATATACTTAACTAATTTAATTATACCTAATAAGTAATAACTACTAGTTATTACTTATTACTAGTTATTAACTAGGGCTCGGATGTTTATGCACTTAAAACTACTGTAATTAAATGCATGCATTTATGCACTAAAAATTACGAAATAGCATAAGAATATAGTTATTAAGCAATTTAAAATTTTTAACAAACCATCAAGTTTTTATAATTATTATTATATTTTGTTAGAATAAACATTAAAAAAACAACAATTTAATTTTTATAAACATTATATTGGTCAATAATAAATAATTAGTAATTAGCTATTGATATTTATTATAAATGTAATAGGAACTTACAAAGTTAATTATGCTGGTAAATTGATTCATAAAATACAAGTAAAATGATATAAACATAATATTTTAAAATGCAAAGTTTTAAACGAGTACCTGCAATAAAAATTAAATTGTTTGATTGCTTTATATTATTAATATACTATATAATATATTGGGCTTAAGTTTAATCTTAGAAGTCATAGCAAAACCAAAGTTTGCAAGACCAAGACCAAGATTTTGAAAGTCTTGGGGTCTTGGTCTTGTTTTGATCAGCACTAGAGCTTTAATACTTTAGTTACTGCATCAGGCACTAGAAATATAATGTAGGTACCTACTATAATTTATATACCGTACTACCTACATAGGACTTCAATGAATACAATAATTGGGTGTCTTTGAAAAAAAAATACTTAATTTAATACTGTAAATATGTTTAAAATAATATTACCGATAAGGCGATAACACAATAGGTATATTATATTTAAACATAAAACAAAGGTAATAAAAAAATTCAAATTAGTAAACCGTAATACTTCAATACAGATGTGAACCATAATATTATATGGCTCATACAAATGTCTCTCTATCAGAAAAAATCATTATTTCATAAATAGAACTAAATATATTGCATTATGATGAACTTCTCTAATGCATATCATAATAATGTCCTACAGACTCACAGCAATGGTTATACATTTATACAAATAAATTATCAACTTTATGAATGTTATGAAAATTTTTTGATTTTACAGATTTTGTTTTACTGTATTTTTATTTTTTACTTCATACTTAAATCCGATACAAACTAGTATATACTAACATTACTAACTTTATGATACCTACAGTATGTATAATTTACAAGATATTAAAATAATTACTTAAYATTAATTACTTAGTATTTATTATTTAAGTACCTTCTTACAAATTCGATTTAATGAAAAATTCTGAAAATTCCTTTACTGTTATAGTGTTATAAGAAATTGACGTACTCACGCATACACAGATATACATTATTTACCTACTTACATTTTACAAGAGTAGATCAAACTAAGCTACAAAATAACTCATTATATCAAAATATGTTTGATTGTTGTTTTTTTTTTTTTTGTAACCACCTAAAAGTAGATAGCTTAGATAATATATAAATATAAAATTAGAAATTTATAAATATGTTATTTATCGACTATCTAAATTAAAATTACACTAAAAAAATAATAAAATATCTCACTTGAGTAGCTCCTAAAATTATCAATAAGTAGAGTAACTGCATTTTGCAGTATATTTTTCGTCTAAAAAATCAGATCAACTGATATAAAAAAAAAAAATTTTATTGCATTAAACGTTTATATGAAGTATTAGGTGGTAGTTCAAAATAATAAAATATCTCACTTGAGTAGCTCCTAAAATTATCAATAAGTAGAGTAACTGCATTTTGCAGTATATTTTTCGTCTAAAAAATCAGATCAACTGATATAAAAAAAAAAAATTTTATTGCATTAAACGTTTATATGAAGTATTGGTTCAGTAATCAAAAGTTTATAATTCTCACCATTCGTTATTATTTTGAACTACCACCTAATTAAACATATAACAAACAAGAATGCCATATCTACAAATTATATTAAGCAAATACAATAAAGGTATATTTTTATATTAATTACATGTCAGTTGACAAAATAAAATGCCTAAACATAATTTAACTGTAAATTATATTGTTTATATAAWTACAAAATCTATTTGATGTACCTATTCGAATAAATTAATGTTTATGAAATCTAGCACACATAAATGTTGATGTAATTTCAACCAAATTTCCTACTATTGACAAAGATGCAATTTTAACTCGATTCAGCAAATCTAATTTATTGATTTTAATCCTCATTTAAGAGATTTAAGGTTTATAAAAAATGTATTGAATATATTATTTCTTAAATTTATGTTGGCAGCGTGACTTTTTACCGATTAAAATCAAAGTACACAGTAGTTTTCTAGCGAAGGAAAACATATTGTATACTCATAAAACTGGCCACCGAGTACCATGACCTTCACAGCTTACCTCACCAGATAACCTCGATCATTTTTACTGCCCCAAAACGTAATGACAGACACAAAAAAAAATATTCATGGTTTTAACGRATTTTTGTCAATATTTGAACTTCAAATGCTAATAAAAAAAATTGTGCCTACCTATGTATTCTTATAATTTT